GTGTTTTTTATATGTTCTACGTATTAAATCCTTCCGATCCAGATTTATGATTTGCAGATATTTTCTCCAGGTCCATACGTTGTCTTCTTACTTTCCTGGTAATATCCTTTGATGCACAAATTAAAATTTTTTATATGTATCCTTTGTTGTTGTTGCTGGTACTTTCAGTTTCCTGCCAAATCTAAGTCATAAAGACTTTGTCCATTGCCGTTTTATAGTTTTAGCTCTCATATGAGAAGACTTCAAAAAGTTGGCAGAAAATTGAATTAAAATTTTTGAAGTCCTGACCTGTTACGTGGTTTCTACATTTTGTGTTAATCCTGTACATCCCATGGAGTCCCATTTATTTTGCACATGGAAGTTCATCTGGTTTACCACTATTTGTTAAAGAGACGCTTCTTTCCCCATTGTTTATAAGTGGCACCCTTGTTGAAAATCAGTTGGCTATAGGTATTTGGCCTTATTTTTGTACTCACTATCTCATTGGTCTATATGTTTATCTTACGCGAGCACCACATTAGTTTGATATGGAATCGAGAAGTTCACTTAGGTCAGTAGTAGTTCCTTTAAGCAATGTTTTGTAGTTTTCTTTGTACAGTTCTTTTGCCTCCTGGGTTAATTCTAATTATTTTATTCTTTTAGATACTAATGTAAATGGAATGATTTAAAATTTTTATTTCAGATTGTACATTGCTGGTATAAACTTTTATTTGTTGACCATGTACTCTGTATCTTTGCTAAATTAGCTTCTTAGCTTGAGTGGCTTTCTTACATATTCTTTGGGATTTCTGTATAAATAGGACCATATCCATGAAGAAGAAAAGTTTTTCCTCTTTCTTTCCAATTTTGATATGTTTTATTTCATTTTTATTCCCAATTGCTTTGTATAGAATGTTCCACACTGTGTTGACTAGCACTGGTGAAAGTGGGCATCTTGTCCTGTTTCAAATGTTAGGGTTAACGCTAAACAGTCATTCACCATTGCAATAACGATGTTAACTGTGGGTTTTCATAAATGCCCTTTATCATATTGAGTAATTTTTCTTCTATTCCAAGCTTATTGGGTGTTTTTGTTATAGAAGGATATTGGAATTTGTCAGATTCCTTTTCGGCAGTATAATCTTACTTGTATTAAATTGACCGAATTTTCCTATGTTGAGCCACCCTTGCATTCTTGCAATAAACCCCGCTTGATCACAGCACGTAATATTTTTAGTATGCTTTCACATTCAGTTTGACAAAGCTTGCTTTCATATTCATAAGGAATATTACTTTCTCTGTGGGAGAAAAATAGACTTCCTATTCCCAGAGAGAGTTATAGTCCCGGAAACCCACAGGGATAGTTTTATCCTATCATATATGATCACTATGAGATGGAATTGACTTAATAGCAATGAGTTTTGAGTTTCCGGGTTGTTTCTCGTCTGGCTTCACTGTCAAGGGATTGGTGACCTTCTAGAATAATTTAAGAAATATATACATTCTGATTGTTGGAACTGTTTGAGAAGGCTTGGTGCTAATTCTTTTTAAATGTTTTAAATCCGCACTCAAATTCTCATCCTCAGAAGTAACCACTTTTAATTTTTAAAATTGTTCCTTCTGTTGCTGTTAGATGCTGTAAAATTGGCTGTGATTATTAATCCTGGGCCATCTTCAAGATTATTGTTGAGAGGGAGCGGGGAGTGGGAAGGGAGGGGAAAAATGAGGACCTAATGCCGGGGCCTTAAGTGGAGAGGAAATGTTTTGAGGATGATGAGGGCAATGAATGTACAAATGTGCTTCACACAATTGATGTATGTATGGATTGTGATACGAGTTGTATGAGCCCCTAATAAAATGATTTAAAAAAAAAAAGATTATTGTTGAGTTTGAACCTATTACAGTGTCTCTCAATCCCCTCGTGGAAGGTCTTGCTCTCTTTCATTGATCCTTTGCGAAGCATGATAATCCTTTTCCAGGGGCTGGTCTTTCCTGATAACATGTTCAAAGTATGTGAAATGGAGTCTCACCATATTTGCTTCTAAGAACTGTACTTCCTCCAAGACAAATTGTTTTATTGTTTTAGCAGTCTGGTATACGTATTCAGTATTGTACACCGTGCCCATAATTCAGATACATCAGTTATTTTCCAATCGCTGTTAGTCATTATCCAGCTTTCACAGACATGAAACCGTTGACTGTACAATGTATGACTTGGGTCTATTGTACATTAGTCCTCAAAGTGGCATCTGCCCTCTCTAACACTTCAGTGCCGGTCTTGTGTAGCATATTTGTCCATTGTAATATATCATTTGATTTCTCGACTGCTGCTTGCATGAGCATTTGATTGCGGAGCCAGTAAAATGAAGTCCTGTATAACGTCATTCTTGTCTGTATCATGATATTTTCACAAGCTGCAAGTCCCCCTTTCTTTCATCAAGCAAGGTTGTTTTTGCATATTGAAGCCCTCCAGTTCTGATGCTGTGCTTTTCTTCATATGTTGTAGTTTCTTGCATTATTTACTTGGCACCCAGATTGAATAAGTTCAGTGAACGGATATAAACCTGATCTCACACCTTTCCTGATTTTAAACTGTACCGTATTCTGTGTTTTTGCTTTTGTTTAATGACTGCCTCTTGGGTTTGTGTACAGGTTTCGCATGAGCATAATGAAGTATTCTGGAATACCCATTCTTCTCAATGTTATCCATAGTTGGTTGTCCACACAGTCAAATGCCTTTGTGTAGTCAATAAAATACAAGTAAACATCTTTCTGATGTTCTCTGCTTTCAGACAAGCTCCATCTGAAGTCAGCAATGATATCCCTCGAGCCACATCTTCTGAATCCAGCTTGAATTTCTGGCAGCTCCTGTCAATGTACGGCTGCATCTATTTTCAAATTATTTTCAGCAAAATTTTACTTACATGTGATATTAATGACACTGCTCAATAATTCCTTCGTTCTGTTCGGTCACCTTTTTTTTTGGAATGGGCACAAATATGGATCTCTTCCAGCTGGTAGCTTCCGGGTAGCCGTCTTCCAAGTTTCTTGGCATAGACTATAGAGTGCTTCTAGGGCTGCATCCGTTTTCTGAAACATTGCAGTTGGTATTCTTTCAGTCCTGGGAACCTTGTTTTTCACTAGTGCTTTCAGTTCAACTTGGACCTCTTCTTTCAGTACCATCAGTTCTTAATCGTATGGTACCTCTTGAAATGGTGAATTGACCCGTTCTTTTTGGTATGAGTATTCCCTTTATCATCTTTTATTGCTTCCTACATTGTTCAGTATTTGCTTCAGTATTGCAGTGTGAAATTGAAAAAAAAATGTTGTTCATTTATTTCACCTTTAGGTATGCCAAGCATGTTCCTGTCGTTTGGTTTTCTAACTGTAGGTCTTTGCATATTTCGTCATGATTTTTTACTTTTTTCTTCTCAAGATGCTTTTGAAATTTTCTGTTCAGTCCTTTTACTTCGTCATTTCTGGGTGAT